GTCGATATCAGATGCAGAGTTGAGAATATATTGCACTAATGTCAATCACAAATTTGCAAATGCCATATTACACTTATACAGCTGGACCTCCCGTAGTGTACAAGCGTGTGTGTAAGTGAGTGCCCTGAGATGGACTCCCATGTTTTTGCTCCCTCCCAGCTCTCCCCCAGACAGTTCACATTTTTGCTGCCTACTGGGAGCTGGGGTAGAGCAGAAATGTGAATCGTGTGGGGCTCTCCGAGGACTGTTTTGAGAAACATTGCATTCGGAAGATAAATCCATGGAACCTATGCATTTGTACTTGTTTGTATGGCTACAGAATGTGGACTTTGATACAGCAGCAGCATCTCCCCTACAATCTAGGTAGAGACTATCGGCGATGCATACTGTGTGGCTGGGGGTTTGCACAAGGAGAGCCAGACTCATGCTGTTCAGATTGCGATGATGGCCCTGAAGATGATGGAACTATCAGATGAGGTCATGACCCCCACCGGAGAAGTCATTAAGGTCAGTAATGGAGTCCATTTTAAAATACTTTACCATATATTATCAGAGTGATGGTGCCTCTGTGATATATTTTATTGGAACTGAAAGTATTGACTTTAAAGGTTAACTCTGTCAGATAATAAACAGAGTAAATTGTTTTATAAGCATCATTAAAAAAAATCTGGCCTTTTGTTTTCAAAGTGAAAATTCACCCTCTGATTTTTTTCTTGATTTTTTTTTTAATCTTCAGTTTTGTAGTCGTCCAAAATGGGGCCGATCATGAGCCGCAGCTGTGAAGGTTTTAGCATTTCCATATAATTCCAGCTTAAGAACCTGAAAGCATGTAAGAAGCATTGGAGGAAATATCTACCTTCCATTCAATATGATGCCCTTAAACCATTAACTCCTTTTCTTGTCGCCTATAAGCACTCTTGCTGTATAGTCTGTACCTGAATCTGGCCACGTCAAAGAAATGAATATCGTGCTGTAGGTTTAATTAATTAAACTAACTCTATCATTTGAACTCGAAAACCTCCATCTGGAGAATAATCAGCCGTTTCTGATGAACAGTGTGGTGCGGTTGTGGGCTTCCTGGGCAGCGACGGGGAACTTCAAAGGGGGGCCCGTGCTGTGACAGCTGATCCCACCGCTCTGCTCGTTGGTGGCGTGAATACTGAGAGAATTAAAATGATCAGGAATTAACAGGCAGGCTTGAGACGTCTTCATAATGGTTTTCTACAGAGACAGTAATGAACTGCGACATATGACTATAAATAGGAGTCTCTTTTTGGCCACAACCAAACAAAAAAGAGTCTTATTACTGTAGACTGTTGTGCTCAGTTTCTGTCATGTAGAGAAGTGAAACAAATTGGCTCCTTAATGTGTTAAAAATGGTGGGAGGAGAGAGGTCCAATGGACCACAGGTTTTCCATCTGCGATGGCTTGCAGAGCATCCATACATTTAGCTAATTTAACTTAACAACAGAACTGGGGGTGGTAGAAGTCATCTAAAAAAAGAGCAGGACTTGTATTTAATTATAAACAGCTCCAAAGTCAAAGCTTTCAAGATGTATTGTTTCATAATTTTCCACGGTTTATTTTTTCTCATTAAACTTCTGTCAGTTTAATACGAAATTAATACAGAAGGAACATGTCATATTCTGCATACACAATGTATGCGTATATGTAAATTATTTGTGGTTTTTTGTCGAACGATGTTGTACGTTCAGTGGCTTCCTTTTGTTCTTAGATGCGAATCGGTCTCCATTCCGGCTCCATTCTCGCCGGCGTCGTTGGCGTAAAGATGCCGAGATATTGCCTTTTCGGCAACAATGTCACCCTGGCCAATAAGTTCGAGTCGTGCAGCATGCCAAGGAGAATCAACATCAGCCCGACGACTTACAGGTGAAGTTTTGTCAATTTTTGTCTCTGGGAATCTTTGTAGTTTTCTAGGCAAACAACGATGGGTATTTTCCAAATACCAGGGATGTAAATAAACATTTTTAATAATCACAGCTATCTTTGTGGTTCATAAGGGGATGAATAAGAGACTAAAAAAATGCACTGATAACTGTACAGATTCCACTAAATCCACGTCTTTACCATCCATACCGAAATCTATGCCCTTGTCCCCTGTTATGTTAACTGGTTAATCTTTGATAACACTGATATTTAAAAATCTTATCGCAAAGTTTAGCTGAAATTCTGTTATACAGTAAACTAGTGAAATTATCTAATCATTCCAGGAAGATGACGGAAATATTACAGAAATCCAGATTTCGGAGGAGTTTAACGAAAGGTCGTGCCAAACGGTTGCAGGCTACATGCCCAGTTCCGAAAATGAAGAATACTATGCTGTGACATACTAACGTGATTCATTGTATCAACAACAAGCTACTTAGAGGCTGTACAATGAAAGCAGACCATTCTTTTTATCCATGCAACCGTTTCCTAGTCTGATGATCTGTGCTCCACTCAAATAACCTACTGAGTTTTCACAGGACATTGAATATTAAGAAATACCCAGCATTCCAAAGGAACACCCCGGTTACGATCTCTATTCACTTAACACATAGGCATCTTTGTGGGTATTTTAATGAGGACTGTGTTATGGGTCAAGCCTAAAGCCTTTCTTTACCTTGTATATAATTATTGTTTTTGAGAATTATAGTACATACTGATGCTGTTTTGGAAGGTTCTTTCTGATATATCAGTACTCAGTTTTTTGTTGATAAGTCGTTTATTGAATAGTTATTTGTCAGTGTGCTCAAAGAGGTTGATTTGCAGTTTAGCTTTTTGGTATTATAAGGATTCTTTGTGCATTTTTAGTTTTTAAATGAAAAGGTGGCAAACATCTCTGGTGTGTTTTTCGTAGGCTGCTGAAAGGTCGGCCAGAATTCGTCTTTATACCCAGAACCCGACAGGATCTTCCGCCGAACTTCCCCCCCGATATTCCGGGCATTTGCTACTTCTTGGAGGCATGTGATCAACAGGGTGGTTTCCGTGGGAACGACTCCACACCGGAGGCGTGTGATTATAGCAATACAAACTTCTTGGGGGAGCAAATTTAATGTGGACCGTGAGCGTGTTGTGAATTACGTTACAACGTTGTTATATATTCGTGGAGGTGAAACCAGGATTCTGTAGAGGTCACCTCTTTTACGTGTTCATTGTGCACTGTGGGATTCACTTATGATACAATACAACATTTGCAAAATTATGGAATTTCTGTGTATTATGTAATTTTGCAAAATGCAGGTTGTGCGTCGCTCTGTATCTGTATTATAGACACATAGTTAGACCATGATGAATGATTTATTATTTCAATAATAAACATTTACTATTGTCATTATTTTCATATTGTTACAGAACTACAATAAACATTATGACCCCATTCAAACTTGTCAAGCATATCTTGAAATTGTGTCATTTCTGCTTTCTGCTTTTCTACCGACATAGCTGAGCATTTGCATGGTAAAAATACAAGAAAAAAGAAATTTAAAGTTTTACCACCTAGAACTATATTGAACTACAAGGGCCACAAAAGAGTGAGCGGAAGTATTACATAGTCTATACGAAGCAGTGAACACCACAGAATGCAATTTGAATGTGTGTTTGTGTGCATGTGAAAGAGAGATAGGGACAAAGAACTGAATGGTTATTCTGTTTTTACTGCAGAATGGGAATCCATTTTAAGCCATGTTGAAGTTCTGTAATCGAGCCCTTTTCAGCGTTTATGAATTCTCACAATGACGATGAGATGAGATGGTGAGCTCTATAATTGTCACTGTACAGTGCCCTGGGTACTATCTAAAAATACTACCTGTTTTGGCGTCCCACAGCACTGGAGAGAGTTTGTTTGGGGAGCAAATTATAAATCTGTTCTAGGAAAGATGGTACTGTATATACAGTATGTGGGCATTTTTTTTTTTGTTTTACAGTAATTGCTTCTTGAAGGAAATAAAAGAGATCCATTACAAAGTGTTAGAAGATTCCCTTGACAAATAGAATTCACTAGCTACAGTATTTACATTTGTAATGGAAAATACATAATTAGCCCTCAATATCTGGTTGCAGAAAGACAACGGTAATGTGTGCGATCTTCCTGTTTATAAAATGCTTTGTTCAGCTGGAGTGCGGGATAACACATTATCTCATACTTATATACACACTACAGCACGTGAAAGCCCTCCAACACTACAGTCTCCATCATTTACAGAATTTAGACTCCTTCATAGTGCCCTTGTTAAACTGTGCTTTTTCCGTGTGGGGCATTAGTGCCCATTCTCTGCTACTCACCGTAATATAGGAGAAGCGTCAGAATCGACCACCCAAGTCGGTTTATAAGACAAAGGTCACGTGAGGTCACTGGTCACGCCCCTTGTACATTGAGCTTGTCGTTACATCTAGACATAAGAGTTACTGCTCTTCTGACATACTGCAAATTCATGCTTTACTTCATGCACTTAACTTGCCTGTCATGTTAATAAATGAATAAGTAATACACAAGAAAATAAGCGAATATCTCAGGAGGGATGTCAGGAAGTACAACGACCTCCCATATCTATCCAGCTGGTTTCAGTGCTACGACTAACCTGCAATTCTCTCGGACCACCAAGATACTTAAAGATGTGTTATGTTCTAATTCAGGTGTAATGTTTCAAATATTAACTAATACCTGATACATTTGCGTCGTAAGAAGTATGAAAAACAAACTCATACAAAGATGCATGTGGATGTAGGAATAATTCCAAGTTATATCAAAAATTTAACTTGTGAATTACCGTGGCCAAAAGGAAAGCCTCTGTGAATGAAGGCATAACATAAACAAAGACTCCATGCTGAAACTATAGGCTAGCGAAATGAAGAAGGTGCAGATATACAAGAAAAAAAAACTTTTCGACAACGTATTAACATCTGGCAAAAATCTGCGTTAAAGTGAAAATGAAAAGACAGGGAAACAGCGTGAAATGGTTGGAGGATCTTCGCAAAGACCCGTAGCGCCACATCCGAGCCGCATTCTCCTGCCCGCCTCCTCTCAGCGCTTCATGTGAACTTGACCAGCGATTGGAGGCAGCAGACGCCAATCTAAGCAGATAACGGTACAGGGATGGTGGTACCTTACGCTACAGACTCGGGCTGTAACGCTGTTAGGGCTGTAGAGACACCTTGCCTTGCCGCTTAAGAAAATCAAGAAGATTATTTCGGTTTAAAAGCATGGTACGTAAGATCGCCACATCATATATTCTCACGCAGTGCATAGTTTATATACGACCAGACGGGCGTTTTATTAGCTGAAAACGTTTTTAATAAAACCGCCGCTGTTCTAAAAATGTTTTAACGCTATGCATATGGAGTTTTGTTATGTAACATATTATGTTGCATCTAAGCAAATATTGGTATCGTTTAGATGTGTGAGATCTTTAGCTGCAATAAAGCAGCGTACCTTAATATGAAATAGGTGTGAGAGACGTGATGCAGTTTCATTTGCTTCTGGGGGGGTCACAAATCATCACTCGAATCGCACGCAAACTATCAAGATAATTTAATCTCTCCCTATTTTATTTTTATTTTTGTTCTGTGTATATATCTATTACATACGGCTGTCGTTTAATTTCGCAGTATGGCTTTGTCAATCACGCATTGGAACTGCTGGTTCTGAGAAATTACGGGCCGGAGGTCTGGGAAGACATCAAGTGAGTTTCACAACATGCTGATCTCGCCTGTCAGTCATAAGGAGCACATGAAACCTTGGCACCTTGTTCGCGATATGGAGCAGTGAATCAAAATTCATTTATCTTTACGCATATGTCGAACATTACACCTATATATCATTGATATAAACATTACTTCGTTAATTTAGTTTTTATTTAGAGATCCACCATAAATATTTTGAGCATATGAATATGTATTTTTAATTTTGTATTGAACAAACCATGCTATTTAAATTCCAAAAGTTATAACAGTTGATTTAAAAAGCGGTCAGTTTAGATGGTTCTTTCATAAATATCTTCACTTTACATTTAAAATACAAGTTAATTTCACGGACCCTAACCACTTAAGATGTGTTGTTGTCACAGTGAAAATCGAAAACACCATAATCCAAGCGCATGGTTCACAATTCTTCAGTTTCTGATTATAATATACAGTAAGTATACTGTATGTAGTCTTACCTTAATCTCCCGCTATATTGTTTGAACTTTGTAGGTTTTTTTAGTCTGGCCAAATAAGATAATGCTGATGCTAAAAAAAGATATTATTAGCGATCTTGAGAGTATACGGTGTGTCCACAAAAGTCAAGGGTAGGCCGTTGAGTGTCAGAATTGTATAAACATGTCCTCTCTCTAAGTGCACAAACATAAAAGCTAAGTTTGTTTAACTTTTTTGTCTTTTTCTCATGTCCCGGACTTGACTTTATCTCATGCTTTCAAGAACCAAGGCACAGCTGTTCTTAAATAAACATGTTTTGAATAGTCTGTACAGTGTCACCTCATGAGAAATACTTTGGCTTAATGCTATCTCAGCTGATGTAATAGCCCTGATTAATGACCCCGTTATTTTTTTCTCGATTGCTTTTAGCGTTTTGTGGTCAAGTTATGGATCTGAAAACATACATGTTTACCTTCCTCAGGCTTTCTACTGACACTGGACCAAGTGCCGCCAGAAATTTGCTTCTAGCCAAATAAAAAGTGTTGTTTTTCTTAGTAGTAGTGAACTCAACGCAGTGACCTGGTCATGGAGATTCTACTCAGAGTGTTATTACTTTAACAAATTCAATTGCTGCTGTGCAGGTTTCCAAATAAGGGATAAAATTTTCAGTGTGACTGGGTGACATTTCGTTTATTTCTGCAGTAACGCAATTTGTAGTTCTGTCTAAGACAATTTGCGCTCGTCTTTCGTGGCCAAACTGGGAGGCTGGCTCTGTGGCTAATATCACACCTCCAGAGTTTGGGGTTCAAATCCCCCCTAAGGGTCTGTGTGTAGAGTTCATACGTTTACCTTAATTACTCATACCTAATAGATACAGAATAATGTTTTCCGGCAGTGAAGTGTTCTTAATATTAAGGCTCTATCTGCTTCCACTTCAAACAAACGAGGCCGCAATAAGATGACACGTGCACCTTGTCCAAAAATAGGTCGAACATGATTTGTCATTTGTTTTACGTTTTCTTGAATGGCTTCCCAGGAAGGAAGCACAGCTGGACGTGGAGGGCCAGTTCCTGGTCAGACTCATCTACGAAGATGCTAAAACCTACGACCTGGTGGCTGCGGCTAGCAAAGTTCTTAGTGAGTGACCGTGGCGTAGTTAATTCGTCACAAGCGAAACGACTTCTAATCCATTTAATTGGGTCCTCTGCTGTTCCCCGCACAGAGATCGATGCCGGTGACATTCTGCAGATGTTCGGGAAGATGTTCTTTGAGTTCTGTCAGGAATCCGGATACGACACTATCCTCCGAGTGCTGGGATCCAACGTTAGAGAGTTCCTGCAAGTACGGGCCCATGCAGAATCTTTTTTTTTTTCCTCATTAATCCTCACTTAAGCCTGTTTTTCCGGCTATTGTAAACTGTAGGTGTTTTGAAAGTGTTAACTTCACTTGTCTCGTTGCTGCTAAATGAAATGAAACAGTCCCAGCTATTAAATGATTCTGAATATAAATCGGGGGCGGGGGTGTATACAGTATAAAGCCATAAACAGTTCTCAGTTGATGTTACATTGTATCTGAAGATTCGTCAATGAAATATATACATTTTTTAAGAACAATGATGACATCAGGGGATATTTTAAATGTTGGCCGAATCATACAAAAGGAAAATCAGTTTGCAAAAACATGGCATCTGATACTTTTAATTGGTAGTGGACTAGGGCGTGGAATGTCGCAAGGCTTCCGAGAGCTGAACATGCACGTTCTATTTGGTCGCCTCTTCAGAATCTCGATGCGCTGCATGACCATCTGGGCACCATCTACCCAGGAATGAGGGCCCCGTCCTTCAGGTGCACAGACGCCGAGAAAGGAAACAACCTCATCCTGCATTACTACTCGGAGAGAGAGGGCCTACAGGACATCGTCATCGGGATCATCAAGACCGTGGCCCAGCAGATCCACGGAACCGAAATAGAGATGAAGGTCAGTAGCGTTGGGTTTATTTACACGACAATGCTGATTTCCCCAGGTCTCTAGCACATTCTCAACCCCGCTGTGAAACTCATAGTCTGCTTGGAAGTAATTTTAAAATGTGCAGAACCCACAGACTGTGACTCACCAGGGGTATTTTTGGACTCTTTTTATTTTTTTTTAATCAACCGTGCGCCTGGCGGTTCTGCGTAGAGACATAGGTTCTAACCACCTTGATTGCCACTAGATCCAAAGCAAAGCAGGGATTTTGAACGGTTTTTCTTTTTTACTCCTTTGCCTCCCTGTGGCGTTCCCTGCAGCTTCACATCGCGCCATGATATTTTTAAATAATGTGCGCTATGTCAGAAATAATATTCATCACCTTTACAATATCAAGGGTTGCACAACAATAAACTAAAATGGCTTCTGTTTAAAAGGCACCTTTTAAAAATATGTAAGCTGCTTTCCTATTGTCATGGAAATATGAATAATCTAAAATGAACATCTTTCCTTTGCTTTCTGCTCCCAGCCGATCTGCCGTTTTATCTCCGAGCTGCAGCGTGTTACCGCGAACAGGCTGAGTGAGACGAAAGCACAGGATTGACATCCCTACTAACGTGGCATGCGATTTATCTAAATGCTGGCCAGGGTTGCCATGGAGACTTAATGTGAAGAGACAGCAGACTGACGTCAGCAGTTAAAGGTCTATGCTTGGTAACCCACTGGACAACGTTGGTTTCTCCATCAGCCTCATGGTTTGCCCTGCTATAGCTTACATAGCCCTTGCCAGATTCTCACCCCGATGAATTCCAGTGCACTACAGTGTCGCACAACTGATTGCATGCCGATTTATAAAGCGGTGACTAATCTGCGAAGGGTTGCTACTTTGTTGCCATCACAATACTGACTGACATTTTGGTCCTTGCCAACATGGAGTGTAGAGATTCGTATAGAAGCAAATGCAACTCATTGAACCATTGTCATGATTATAATGAAGCAATGCAATTATCAATGATTAAAGTTTTGTCCCTGTTGCTTTGCAGTAGTAGATTTGGGGCCTCAATTCCTGCCTGTTTGTGGAGTTTCCATGTTTATCCATCTTTTGTTAAAACAGCCAATCGAGTAAAGCAGCTGAGAGTTGAGGATGTGAAAACCAGCAGATGTTGACCTGCTCAGGACCTTCTACAGTATGTTTAGTCTTGGCTAATGTGTTTTTTTCTGCTGCCCACATCAGGTCATCCAGCCAAAGAGTGAGGAGTGCGACCACATTAAGTTCCTGATCGAGGAGAAAGACTCAGAGGAGGAGGCCTTCTATGAGGATTTGGATGGGTTCGAGGAGAATGGCACTCAGGAGACGCGGATTAGTCCGTACACCTTCTGCAAAGCCTTTCCTTTCCATCTCATGTTTGACAGGGAGCTGGTGCTCACCCAGTGTGGGAACGCCATCTTCCGTGTCCTACCACAGGTACGAGCAGTTATTGTCTACCATGGTGCACCATGTGCCTTCTTATCATGTAGTCCGGAGTGTCATTCAGGGGTGAAACTGCAGGTTCAGTGCCCTCAAATAAATGCTAAACACCTTTCACGTTGCAACAATTACTGTCATGCTGTAGGTTATCTCAACCTGAAGCCATTAGTCTTCTGTGAGACCACCTTGAGAAGATAGTATAAGGACAGTGATATGCCCACATGTGCTTGCAATAACCTTGGCCGCTCCTTCTCCCCCAGCTTCAGCCGGGGAGCTGCAGCCTGCCCTCGGTCTTTTCCCTCGTGCGTCCGCACATCGACTTCAGTTTCCACGGCATCCTGTCTCACATCAACACCGTCTTCGTGCTGAGAAGTAAGGTGAGCACAGTGGAGTAGCTCCCGTTGCCCCATCCCGCCCTTCAACCACTTGCGCCGGATGAGTTAGCTCCGGACCTCTTGTTTCCTGTGGGAAGGAGGGCCTGCTGAACGTGGAGGCGTCAGAGTGCGAGGACGAGCTGACGGGCACGGAGATTAGCTGCCTCAGGCTTAAGGGACAGATGATCTACCTGCCTGAAGCAGAAAACATCCTCTTCCTCTGCTCCCCGAGGTATGACCTTGAGGTTTCTAAGCCACCATGGAGAGCCACCTGCCAACGGCCTCACCTTTTGTCTCGTTCTTTAAATATAACCGGTTTGGTCATGATGATTGGGGTTAGAACAGTTTCTAACACATACTGCTTTAGCGAGAAGAAATGCCAGTTTTTGTCAAGCTCTTGTTGTTTCCTACTTGACTGATCCACCCCGACACCTGGCTCCTGTCTTGCCAGCGTGATGAACCTGGATGACCTGACCAGGAGAGGACTCTACCTGAGTGACATCCCGCTCCACGACGCCACACGGGACCTGGTGCTCCTCGGGGAGCAGTTCCGCGAGGAGTACAAGCTGACGCAGGAGCTGGAGATCCTAACGGACCGCCTGCAGCACACTCTCCGTGCTCTGGAAGACGAGAAGAAGAAGACTGACAGGTATCCCCTCGTCATACCTAACCCATAGTGACTGATCTTAAATCCTCATCCCCTTGATTTTTACATCCTTGAATGTATCAATTTGGAAATCTCAGATATGATCCTCTCAGCCTCTCATCTAAAAGCGTAAGGTTGTAGCAACAAATCAGAGATGTTAGGGATTGCCGTCTCGAAAAGATTCAGAAGTGAAATACAGGCCGTACCCTGTAGCTTAATAAGTTTGCCTGTTTCGCAAGTCTTGCTTTATTGTGGGCGTCCCGCAAGCGTCCATCTTTTCAAATGAGCATGGATCGTGAAGGCAGTAAAGTGTAACAGGACTGGTTCTCCGGGTAGTCAGCGTATTTTTATGCCAAAAATATATTCGCAGCAGAAACAGGACTCTGAACGATAGCCTGTCTAAATCTTTGCATACTTCACACTCGATTTTCAGCCACCCTGGAAATATTTCCACAGCGTTGACAGCATTTTATTCCAAGATGAACGTCAAATTCCCGCCTGTCACACATTCACTTACCCATGTGGACATTTAAGGCACTGGTCATTTACAGTATTTCCCATATTAGACTTTCCTACTTAAACCATATTCTGATGTTTGAATCTGATAAATAATTCATTTATTATTCTCTGTAACCTGCTTTTAAGCAGTAAACACTGATTTTAAGTATATAAACTGGTACATGGATAGAGGCCTCCGAGCAGATCCAGGACATGCTGGAGCGATTGTACCTCCCAGCTGGGCTTGGGATTGTCCGGAGATCTTCTAGAAGTAGCTAGAAAGGTCTTTTTTGACCAGATACGGGTGTTGGCTGTGCTACCCTCCCCAACAGCTGGAAGATGGATGCATGGATGGCGACAGTTTTTTTGGGGGGAGGGGGGTTGTATTATATTATATATGAATCATATTAGTAAGAATTTTAATATACAAATTCCAGCCATCGGATTCTACATAAGTAGCTTTGTTTTCGGTACTGTTGAAAACATCCCTAAAATGATCTTCAGTTTCTTCACAACGTAGGATTTTCCGGCAGATACATACAGGCCTTCCCCTCTGTCATATACACAGTCATTGTTTCACTCCCGTTGCTTCTGCTTTGGACGCTCGCTGCTGTGATTTCAGCCCCCAGCTGAGTACGATGTGGTCTGCCGCTCGCTTCCAGCTCACGACACGCCCAGATACATTTCGGAGCGGCCGTGCGTGGGCTGATCGACTTTGCTCACCTCCTGTCGGACTTTGCCTTGCTTTTTCCGTTACTTCCCATGCCTCTCTGAGTCCGCCGCGGTTTGCAGTTGGTTTCACGCTACACTTCATTAACTGTGGTTATTCAATGCCCCGCCATTGACCTCTCTGTGATTACAACCCACTTCTCTGGATAAACTATACTACCCCAGTAAAACGTATAGTCGTATGACAGTATGTATAGCAATTGTTGTTAATTTGAATGAAAAACAGGGTCACGTAGAGTCAGTTATCATTAGTTTGATTTATTTATGGTCCTGGGCCTAATTTATATGCAAATTTCTTTTTTAGCAGCTAATTTGATAATAACTCTGTAGTATTTGTGTCAGTTGTCTATTATCCAGGTGTTTGTATATTCAGAAGCCCTTTTTAGTATGGTTGTCCCTGACTTGGGGCCGTCCTTTCCCACGAATAACATCGACTGCCGCGTCAGAAACACAAGCAGCAGCACCACAGCCTGCTCCGTTCGGGGCGTCTTCGCTGCGAAATGCTAAATCATGATATTATCTTGGGGGACTAAAAACGGATGCGCCATTACTTTTTCTTTTCGAACCGCTTCCATGTTCCATATTTTCGACCGGTGAGTGGGGCTGACGAGATTTCGGCACATTTTGTGCCTCCTTACACCAAGCCATCATTTAAAACATTTTGCGTTTGGCAGAAAGTACGACTTAAGTTAGTTACCATGGCAACATCCCCATCTGCTTTATGTTTGAAGCTTGGTCGTGGAAAGCCAAAGTTTCTCATCCTCTGTCTTAATACAGACTTTTACAGACAGTTTATATACACAGTATGCTATATATTACATACATAAAACAGATGACAGTAAAATTTTAATAGCTAAATATTATTTCAGTATAAAAATGGAACGACTGGTTTAAACTTAAAGAACACTTGACACTTAAAAATCAGCAACTAGATGAAAATGTCCATCCATCCATCCATCCATCCATTTTCCGAATTCAAGGTTGCAGGAGGTCTGGAGCCTTGGGAATTACCCAGGATGGAGCAGCAACCCAATGCAGTAGATATATATAACATATATATAAACATATATATAAAAAATAAAAAGTCGCTTAGTAATGGCATGAAAATGTGTCGCTATGAATCACGATCGATGACTTATTGACTAGAAAATGACTAAAATCTTGGAGAACCTCTCTGTTTTTCCCGTAGACTTCTGTACTCTGTTTTGCCGCCGTCTGTGGCAAATGAGCTGCGACACAAGCGGCCCGTCCCAGCGAAGCGATACGACAACGTCACCATCCTCTTCAGCGGCATCGTGGGTTTCAACGCCTTCTGCAGCAAACACGCCTCAGCGGAAGGTGCCATTAAGATCGTCAATCTGCTCAACGACGTCTATACCCGCTTCGACATCCTGACAGACTCCCGGAAGAACCCTTATGTTTACAAGGTAAGATGAGGCCAAGTCTTTACCACCTTGTCCCTTATACAGCTTGCCTAGGGTAGGTTCGGCTCCACCCTTCCCTCCATAACTGGTGCGATGGCTGCAAAGCGTTGTCAAATAACGCTCCATCCTATCTGCTGGCACCAGAACCCTTATAGGGGGGGGAACCTATGTTTCCATGAGGGCCAAATTCCATCAGAAGCACACAGCCAATGTTCAGTGCTGACCTTGGGTGGGGGGTGGGGGGTGATCCTCGATGATAAAATTCGCCGACCTTGTCCCCTGACAATCAAATTACTTGGCCAGGGGGAACAAATGATCACATGACCTGGATTCAACTGTATTTTGGTCCATATGCAGTCTACTGGTGGGTGACCACTGCTGAAGAACCTGGGAGACACTTTCGACTAGGCTGATCTCACGGTATTGGTAGATTTTTCATGTCTAATTCACCTCTGACACATAAGGACAAGATTGTCACAGGACATTTTTAGGGACAGCTGAATGCAGCCGGCTGTTTCCACTATGAACCCAGGGACTAAAGATTCACCCCTGGGCCTCGGTGGACAGGGCAGACGATGGAGGAGTGTCTCTTATCTTGCAGGTGGAGACGGTCGGGGACAAATACATGACGGTGAGTGGGCTTCCAGAGCCGTGTACTCACCACGCTCAGTCCATCTGCCACCTGGCTCTGGACATGATGGAGATCGCCGGCCAGGTGAAGGTGGACGAGGAGCCCGTTCAGGTTAGGAAGGTGTTTTTCCTGTACCTACCCATAGGGGGCACATTCTTAGCCATCTACAGTGGTGCCTGCGGTTCATGAACGCTGTGGTCTACGAACAATTTGTTTCGCGACCAAAAATGTAGTGGAAAAAAATGCATTGGTTTGCGTAAAAAATTTGGTTGAGGAACAGATTCCTCGACCAGATTCCATTTTTATACCAGTGTAGCACTGGCGGGGCACATGTCCCAGCATGCCCCACTTGCAACTGTAAATAGAAGGACCACAACAGGCAACCAATGAGCACCGAACCCAAATACACAGACGAAACACAAGGCTGTCAGACGCCGAACTTCAAGATGCAAACACAGTGGAAGATTAACATACGCTAAATTCACGTGAGGATCAGACCGGATACACACAAGACACGGGCAAATACACGCGCGACAATAGGGAAATGCAACCATTAACATTAACAACAACAACAAGGGTTAAGGACCGTTAATAAAGAGCGTGATTTCCCTGGCAAGCAAGTCTCTATGTCTCTCTCTGCTCCCGCGATGCCTCGGTCTGCCCGTTGCCACACTATATTGTGTTTTTCTTTAAAGTTTTTACTATAAAAACCAGAAAATTAATTAACAAATATTTTTATTTGGTAGGCTTGTGAACAAATTAATCGAATTTCAGTGCTTTCGTATGGGAAAAATTGCCTTGGTCCGCGTACAAATTGGTTCACGACCACTTTCCTGGACCGGATTGTGTTCGTGAACCGCGGGCACCACTGTACTAACTTTATTATTTACTACATCCCTTCACTGCATAAGCAGTTTGAAGATGGACAGAGGGATGGATGGATGGATGGATGATGAGTATTGGGGGGGGGGGGTCGTATTTTAAGGTTCCAAAAACCGCAGCTCCTAAATATTAATCATATTCAAAAATTTCATGTACAAATGCCACTGGCTCCTAGCAAACCATGAGACCATCTGACATTTTGGTAGCTCAGTTCTTCAGCGTTGCAGTCTGGAGGCTGTGTCAACATCAGTGTCTGCACACAACCTTTTGCTACGAGAGCCAGCTGTGATAACAGTCTGCCATTTTTATTCATCTCTGTCGGAGTGCTGTTCTTGATACTGTCAGGAGTATTCATTTTGCTGCCTTATTCCATCATTGGTGCTAACCTGGGAACTGGAGAATTTCTTTTTTTTTTATTTAACAGACCATTGAAGTAGTATGTTTACAGGCAGTAAGATGCATTAGTAATGGACATGATATCAGGATTCCTCATCTCCGGGGAACTGCAGTGACACATAATGCACCCCCAGGGCCGACTTCAGCGATAAACAATATATAATTAATTAAAATGCCCTGAAAAAGCCATTTTATTACTTGCATAAACAGCAGCGGCCATGTTTAATCTAAACTCGGAGAGTCCAAAGTCATTTCCTCATAGGTTGCATAATTTTTTTTTTTTTTGTTGAATGGAAATTTTTTACTTCTCGCATAAAGCATGATTATATTAAGTAATCACTTAAAAAAAAATCCAAACAATGTTCTGCTAAAACAAATTTCCCCCACTGCAGGAATCACAAATTACCTAGTTCCAGTTACATAAATTCAGATTCTGTTGCCTTTGCAGCAGAGGAGGACGGTTTGACTTTAGCCGTATATATTTTCCTTAGTTATAATGCCAACCTCCTTTTCCATGTACCTAAAATAGCTACATGGATCTAATTGGCCAAAGTTGGCTGTGGCAGACTTGATCTTAGACAGCGTACTTTTGTTTAAACCAAGGAACGACGTTTGTTATTGTATCCGTGACGACGAGTGCTGACGTTCCAGCGGGCCGTGGCTTGTTTATTGGGCAGATGGTACCGCAGGCAGAGAAATGGAGGATGGTACCGGACAGAGCCTCAAATCACATCGACATCCCAGCCCATGTCAGTGCATTTGCCTACAGCTCCAATCCGTTGATCCTCCTTTCTTCCCAGTTGTTTTTCTCGACCATGTTATGCTGTGTCACATCCCACAGGAAGTCAGGGGTATGTCTGAGTAAACGAAAAAAAAAACCTGTACCTGTGTTTGATTTTTGTTTTGTTTTTTTTTGTTGGGGGGGTGGTTCAGACGAAGCAGAACAAAAATGAGCACCAAAACAAAAACCAGCGGGGAAAAACCTGAAACAAAACAAAACACTTCACTACGGCCTGGTTTTCAGACCGCCCCAGTAACGCTGGAAATGCGTTATTTGCCTGACCTTTGCCAGCACCGAATCACTCTGGCTACTTTGAAGCCAATGGGGACAGACGGAGAATAGCGTGACCCAGTTCCATCAAAGGAGATGGATTTGCGTAACCCTGCAAGCGCTGAGCGCAGTAGTGGTACCGTTTCACCTCGGGGGGGGGGGGGGAGGTGCCCCCGAGGAGCTGATGTCACAACGTTTCTTGCTGAGCACAAACTAAAGCCCAGAAATAGGTGCCACACGAGCATCTCAAACTGTACAGTCAAGCTGTCGTGCCGTTATCTGCTCGAGGTTGCTTAGCCCTCCTGTCGGAAGGCAGGGACTGATCTGAGATATATTTTATTTTGTTTAATCTCATTACGTTCCAATCTGCTCTCGGCTCTCCCTCCAGTGTTTACTCATTACAATCTGCCGGTCGTACCACCCACGTACTCGTCTGACTGATATCCAAAGCAAAATTCAAATGGTGTCAAAACAGATATGACATTTATTCTGAGCATAAATAAGGCTTTGCTTAGTAAACAAAAAGGGACCAGACCTAACAGACACCTTTATTTTACGAAGGCATGTGTTTATGACATGCGAGAGGCTAAATCTCTGAGCAGACTTTGGGTTTGATTTACCTTTAGTCCTGAGCTCACGGGTGGCCCGTGAGTACGTCTCTTGGAGTCTACGTCTATGGAGTCTACGTCTATGGAGTTACTATCGCGCCATTTTCAAGCCCACTCAGCTGGACAGACGATGTTCAAACGCGCTAACTTGTTTTTTGGCTGCTCCACGTCCAGATAACCATCGGGATCCATACAGGAGAGGTGGTGACTGGGGTCATAGGGCAGAGGATGCCTCGATACTGCCTGTTTGGGAACACGGTGAACCTGACGAGTCGTACCGAAACCACGGGCGAAAAAGGGAAGATTAATGTTTCCGAGTACACGTACAGGTGAGTACTGAGAGTCCCCGAAGACGAGCATGCTTATAAATTTGTCGAAATTAAACATAATTCACAATGATGGATAGCTGTGAGGAAAATTTTTAAAAATTGCCATTAGATGTTATTCGATCATTAAAAACTTCGCAAAACAAAACTGACTTGGGTTTATAGTTGCTTAAAACAGCAGTAGAAGAGACAGATAGATGTTACAGACTTACATCCTGAGTCACTGATGAGGAAGTTTGCATAGCAATCAGAATATTGCTGTTGAAACGTGGCACTCATGTGCTGTCAATCACTGTGAGGTACAAACAAAGGCAATGAAGCAACCAATGAAAACAGCGGACATGGCATGGTGGTGCCGCCCATAGGGGGCGTGTAACCCATTCCTGATGCAGGCAATCTGTCCCGTAGGTGTTTACAGTCAGCAGAGAATGCAGATTCCCAGTTTCACCTGGAGTACCGGGGACCCGTCAACATGAAGGGGAAAAAAGAACCCATGAAGGTCTGGTTTCTATCCAGGATGAGCCCAGAAGCTGTTAAGCAAACAGCAATCAACTAAAAGAAACTAAAAGCTGAATTCACTTCCAGGCAAACACCATGTTACATGAGTTGCGCTATTTTACATATATATATATTTATGTGTGTAGGATCTTTTTAGGGGACATTCTCACTTTCTTCCTAGCTATTATTTTTTGTTGATCATCTAAGGCAGAAGAACAGATACTTTAAATTTAATATATATATATATATATATATATATATATATATGGATATGTTTTAAAATTTCCAGAAACAAATCCATTTCTTTCTGTGTCTGCTATGTTTTTTTTGCAAACCATTAGTTATTGCCTTGAATTATTTTCTATATTAATTTACTGTTGTTTCCCTGTCTCCATAACTACCGATAAACTGTGAGTATTGAATAATGTTATTAACTGATTGCAGTTATGGAAATTACAAACTGGTATGACATTAGTCCAGAATCCTAGATGAATCATCATATTCCCATTTCCTGTATTGTGCCAAGAATATTAGAAATTGTTGTTTTGGTAATATACAGAAATAAACACCTGTCATTGTAATACATCAAACTCATGTATAGTGTATCTTATTGTACCACATTTTGATTTGTCCTCATTCTTTATCTTGCTTGCTGTATGTGCACTATAAATATTTGAGTATTTAAGTTAGCTGCTTTAAAATATAACCATAGATTACGAAGCGCTGTGAAAATTTCCCATGCAAAAAGGTTCTTACGGTAAGATTTAGTGTTAGATTAGTTTCCTCTGAATTATACATGAGTAAGGTACCTGAATTTGAGGAAAGTCTTTACTCTGTGGGATTTCTCATGCCCAGAAGAATCATCGATGCACTAACTGCCTCACAAAATAGTGTCCTTCGCTGCAGATTTGAGGGGATCATCTTTTTCTGTTTTTTTTGCTGACAATTACACTGAAGCACATACGTTTTTTTTTATTCCCCAAAGTGTTTCAGGTCGAAAAGTAGTCAGTACACCTATCGTAAGGGAAATTTCTGTTGTCGCATTCCCCCCCCCCCCCAAAGTCAATATACTAAATCGGGAAATGCGACGGGGGCGTTTTCTGCATTAACCGCTTCATTCATTCTCGTCAGCTTCAATAGCCAGCGCGCTAAAGGAAGTCTCAGAGAGGAGAGCCGGCTGGCTTCAGGATTCAAGGTAACGGTTGAGAGGGTTTAAAAGAGGCCCATACTTAGTGTGAGGAAGCAGGACGTAGGACACAAAACAGCTAGAGGTGGGGTGTGAGGATGAGCCACTATCAGTTTGAAGGACTCATCCATGTTTGCTTAATCATTAAGGTAATTTAAAATGGTACTGTCTTTATATTGCTCTGACCTGTTATAGCCCATTCTGTTATTAAAATGATTACCTATTAATACCGTGTTCTGCGTTTTTTATCAATACCTAAAGGATTTATCACGCATGGTAGGTACCCTGTACTGGCCTGTTGTGTTATAGGAGAATGCTGGGTCAATGTATATGCAGCAGATGTGCTTATTAACATTAATTAATGCACTTTACAAATATGCAACACACCTTCAGGTCTAAGTCTGTCTACATGTGAATGTCAGGGGAGTGAAATACACCCCAGCGGACCTGTGGAAATAACATCGGCCGGCTATTTACGTACATAAACCCAACACCAAACTGTAGATATCTAGCTGTACCCCCAATTATCCCCCATTAAACCCCTCCCCCTTAATTTGTAATAACCCATGACAAAATAAGCGCAGCGTCTCTTTTCTGTATTTACAGGTGTGATATAATAGACAAATGTAATCACGACAGGATACGATCGCACTTCGCAATGAGAAGCTTGCCTCTGATTGCAACATCAGCTGTAATTTACTTTGCCGAACTAAACTATTTTGCCCGTTCTGCTCGAGAATGGCCATACGGGATAAATATATTATCCACAATGGCGAGCGCTGAAAATAAATGTTAGGACATATGTATGTGATTTAAAGTAAAACAAGTGACAGTGTGTTTCAGTTTTGAAAATTCACACTGGTTCCTGAAGAGCACACAGTTTAATCCCTCAGATATTAATTACAGCTAAAACGAGGCGTTCAGGCCAGAGACAGCGGCTCAAGCTTTACTTCTAACTGTAATGAACTTTTATTATTTTAATCAATAGGCATATGGCCAAAATATTACATCTGTGTCATTCTTGTTTACTTCGACTTTGATCCGTTTTTTGAATCTTTAAAAAGGAATTTGCATGCCCAAGATTAAGCACTCAACTTGTAAAACACACACAAGCATGTAATTGAGATCCTACAGTAACATTTACTTTGCGCTGTGTATCGCATACAACTCATATTTTGTCTCACATGTACAAGCTGGAAAAGAAGAATTTGTTGAGCTTGGATATTTACACAGCAGGATTTAATGCTGAAGGATGCTAAAATAAAAGGGACATTGGGGCAACCAGTGGTCCTACAGTTGCTAGGCAGTGAGGCCCCTTTCCCATTGCCTCCCCTGCTGTTATTTCCCAGATACACGGACAGCTGTGCTGGGTAATGATGTGTAACCTGATTGGTCGGTGGGGTGTGACAGCATCAGCTGATTCGTCGGCTGTTAGTGCTGTTTGAAGTGTACGACTTACCACTAATCACTGTGCTTCGGCTCTACCTGACATCACGGAAATTCGCCTCTGGCTGGAGTATTGATTTGGAGTGCCGATTTAATCCATATTATAGCCTAGGGTTCGTTGGTCTTTCTGCTGCATCTCCAGGCCAGATCAGGGAAGAGGCGGCAAACGATAATGGGCAAACACTGATAACCAGAAAGGCTCTTTGACTGTCAAGATTGCATTACATCTCCCTCTTGTGGTCATTCTCTGATATTTCATGCATAAATTCTGTCAAACCACTATCAGTCGGTGCTTGAGTGCATTAGATGCTGTGTTTAAGACTTCGGAAGTCACTGTACCATAGTTAATACTGATTATTTTAAATCAACATACAAACATTTGTAACACTTTGTATGAATGTCATGGGTCATTCATAACCCATTACGATGCATTCATAAAGCATTATAAAAATGGCTAAAAATATTTATAAAAAGGCACAACACAATATAGCCATGTTTATGCATGAATGTGTGAATGCTCTATGAATGCTTTATGAAGCTCTCTCTTATGTGTACTGAATGTTCAAACGTGAAAACCCACAGACAGAACAGCCCTTGCTGGATATAGATACCTTTATAATGCAGTACAAAGCATCCTTAATTCTTATACCAACCATTATAATGCATTATGAAGGTATCCGTTGTGTATTATAGATGAGAGCTTCATTGGAGCTTATGAAGCATCATAATCAACACTATAATGCCTTATGACTGTCAATAGAAAATGCTGTAACACTTTATTAATTGTTATACTGACCATTATAATGCATTATGAAGACATCTTTAATACATTATAGCTTCAAGTTGTTACCCAAGTATTTAATCCACCTACAGCATTTCCCATTTATGTGCAAATATATTTAAAAAAAAATTCAATAATTTTGATAGTTTGCCCAAAAGTAAACTAAATTACTAACATATTAATTTTAAAACATTTAGTTTCTTATGACCTTTTTCCTTATATAAACGCTTTATTATGTGACTGATTAACTCAAATGTTTTAAATGACATTTTAAATTGTATTTTATATTCAAAATATACCATTTCCCTTGCAAAATACTGTATACCACACTCACAGTAACAGCCACCGACTGGGTAGCTCACAAAATAGTGAATATCTTCATTCTGGAAAGATCACAGTATGTTTTCAGTTTCATCTAGATAAGATTACTGATTAACAACACTTCAGACTTATATGCATATATGTACACACGCACGCATACACACACACACAGACAAAATATTCAAATACACGTGTACCGTGTTTTCTTTCACCCTGGCCATGTTTCTCGAAGTTTACGTCAGAGATGTCCACAGCCCCTCTCAGACTGGGTGATTTTATTATTTGTTGTTTTACGTATTTACCCAGCTTTGCCACATGCGCATGCACTAACATCCCATGACACTGCATTGAACTGAACATCTTCTCGATTCATGTATCAGCCATCAGACTTCTAATTTGTTCTTAAAATAGTATCGGTCAATTTATTAAATTACTTGTTCTGGAATTAATGGAATTGAATAAAATTTCGACTGACCTCCAGTGAACTTCCCTCAAATAATAACATGCAGGTCATCCAACTACACACACACACAAAAAAAAAACCCACTCACAAATGTCCTTGGACAGAGCTAATACGGGAAGGGCAGGGTTTAAACACTTGCATCTGATTGGTTGATTAAAAAACATTAAATAGTTTATGTGCCACATCCCTGGAAGACAGGCGACGTCGTAGTCTGCAAATTGAATGCTAGTCATTTGTGGCGAGGAACGTCTTAATGAACCATGAGTGGATGTCCCTATTTTGAAAAAAGGCACCAGTATGTATCTGGACGTCAGACAGGGAAAAATTTAGGAAAATTGAATATATTGAATACTATAACGTCCAATGTTACTGAGCAAAAGGAAAAAAGAAAACAAAGATATATATATATATATATATATATATATATATATATGCTATTTGCATAGAATTGTCTTCTTCAAAATTAGGATTATGAAAAATAAATAATATATAGAAATATAGTGTTTTCACAGCATGACCAATGTGCTCTCTGATAATAATAGGTTGTTTCCAAACAAGCATGTCCAGACTGACCAAGTGGATGACTCACAAATTGGAACTAACAAAGCTGCCAACGGAGGCATCATCTACAAAGAATATCTGCAGGTAAACACCTTCTGAGTAGCGATACCTAGGAAGAACACAGACGCAAAAGGCAATGACAGTGTTAGTCAAACACAGTAGGACTAATTAAACTTATGCGATGAAACAATGTGTTGAATGTGCAGTTGCTGTGCAAATGCGATGTGATGAGGGTTGTGAACACAGACGGTCCCTTTATTTGTAGCTGGATAAAATCGTGACAGCACAAGTACTTCAGAGTGAACGAAAGGGGCAGAAGATCCATGATGAGCATCTCTTCATTGTCACCCACCAAGGTAAATTAAAATGACAGCGTTTAATGGCAAAACTCACCGTAATAGGAGTTGATTATCAGGACTTATGCATTTGGGTCAAACTAGTGGTAAAGGTGTGGCTTATGAAAAATAAATGACCTGCGTTGTAAAATTCTGCATTTCAGCTTATGAACTCTGGTTTAAGCAGATACTCTGGGAACTAGATTCAGTGAGAAATATTTTCCTCAAAGATCATGTGAGTGTTTCAAGCTTTTATCTATTTATATAGCAGCAAGCTAAATTATTTTAACAAATTACTCAGTGTTTTCAGATGACGTAACATACAAATATTAAATAATTTAAAAGCAAACACTGTGTAAGTGTAATTCTAATTTTCATAAATATATACTGTATTATCATGTAGAAAAGTGTACTTTCTGTAAAAAGCCCAATGTTTCATTGCCTTATTGGACTGTAAATTTGAAACCTTGCATTGAACTAAATTACATTTCTACAGGTACGAGATGAGCGGAATATGCTGAAAGTTGTAAGTCGATTGCAGAGAATTACAATGATCTTCAGACTTCTGGTTGACCAGTTTGCTGTCCTGGAAACCATGACTGCCTTGGATTTTTACGATTTCCGGTGAGCAAACCTGCTTATGTCGTGGATACATGCCACACAGATCACTTATGTGTGTATTCACTGCGTATGTCCATCATCTTCACCATGTCAGACACATATTTTGGTTCCACCCATTAGTTCTTCGGGTTTTTGTTACACACTCCTTTTCTGTGAATCACTGTTTGCAGGGAATATTTGACTCCAGCCTCTGGATTCCAGAGTCTTCAGTTCAGGCTGCTGGAGAACAAGCTCGGGGTTTCAGACAACCAGAGGGTCCCTTACAATCGTCGCCACTACAGAGAGCACTTCCACGGACAGGACGTTGAAGAATTGCTGAGATCTGAGCAGGAACTAAGTCTTCTGCGGCTAGTTGAGGTGCCAACCAGCAACTAGATCCCTCATTGGCTGTAAAGATCACCCATCCATCTCCTGTCCTAATCAGGGTCTCAGGGGTAGAGTACACCCTGGATGGGACACCCATCCATGGCAGGTCACACTACAGGTCATTTAGAAATGTCAGTTAGCCAAACCACATGTCTTGGACTGTGAAAAGAAACCAGAGTATCTGGATAAACATCGGGAGAATTACACCCGAGCCACCACACCACCTGCTGTTGAGATTATTGAATAACATATTTGAACAAGAATCATGTCCTCTGCTGAAACCCTATCCAAACAGCACAATACAATTATTATACTAATTAACCTTAAAGTGAATATCATCATATTTTTAGTAGTGAAAAAGAAAATTATTAAGGCCTTAAAATGACCTAAATAGCCTTAATAATAGGAGGGCCTCCATATTAAACTTCGGTTCCACTTTTTATTTTTGATGGATTAATTTATTTCTGAAACTTGCCATGTTATAAATTGCTAGAAATGGCTGGAGAGAACTCCTGGACTTGAAAAAGATGGATTCAACTTTTGGGGGAAACTACAAATAAACGTCGAAGAGGGTTTCAACCATGAACTGAAGAAACTTGAGGTAAATGTCATTCTCTATACCCAAATTCTCTTAACCCATGTTCTAAGATAAGTCATGGTTATTCTTAACAGATGCACTGCAGCAATAACAACACATGAGGTATTTTGACTTCTTGACAGCAACAACCAGAGTCAGAGAAAAAGGTGGAAATGATAGAAGAACTCGTCAAACAGAGGGAGGTCTTTACTTCTTTGTTTGACGAAAAGAATCACGAGCGACTTTTGTGCGTAGGTAAGTATTTTATTTTTGTTTTCTGTATTCAAATGCCCTAGGAGTCTGGATTCCCTGGAGACTGTAGATTGGATTCCCAGTAGACTGGATTCCCAGTAGACTGTAGACTGGATTCCTTGTAGACTGGATTCCCTGTAGACTGGATTCCCTGTAGACTTGCAAAGTAACTACATGAATTGTACTCTCAGGTTTAATTAGCTGGAAAACTTGAGCTGGTCAAATAAATGACAGGATCTCTCACTCATGCCATCCAGGTGAGAGGCGACTGTCTTACAAAGCCCTCCAAGGAGCTCTGATGATCTACCACTACAGGTAAAGCTTTTCACCTTAGCGGGGCTTCTGTATCTTCTTCTATCTGGGAGTCCATTTCATATCCAGCTGTGGTCCCTGTTCAGAGAGGAGCCTCGTTTCCAGGTTCCCTTCCAGGTCCTCACCTCCTTGATGGACATCGACGCCCTCATGTCAAAGTGGAGATGTGAGTGCCAATCTTCCACTTGGGTCTCATAGACATATTAGATATATCCCTACACATTTCTCTAGTAAACATCTGGTAAAGATATTGAGGTATTCCTTGCTGAGCTGCTCTTGCTGAAAAGTCACCATGGAAGTTCCATAGCTAATAGTTCATCCATCTTCAAACTCCTTATTCTGGTCAGGGATAATTCATAACAAAAATAATCCCATATTCCACTGTAGACAACCATGTGTGCATGGCCCAGCGCATGATTGGTAATAAGGCTGGCACTGGGGGGTCATCTGGCTACCACTACCTGCGGTCTACAGTCAGGTAAGCAGTCTTCTCTGGAACGATATGCAGTGTATGGACCCCTTGTTATTACAGCATCAAAGGTCTGTCAAGCAGTGTTCTTTGGATATTTGATTATTTGTGCAGTGGCCATAAATTTTAATGGAGTTCAACAGATTCAAAGAATGATGAGATTGTTTTTGAGTTCAGTCATGTCCCCACTGGTAGCAAAGATAGCCAAGTGTGTTGTTTGCCAGCTCCAGTAAGCCTCTGTGTCTCTTGCAGTGATCGCTACATGGTCTTTGTGGATTTCTTCAGTCTCGTCACGTTCCTGGTGCCTCGGACCTGGGTGCCCAAGCTGGACCCCGGTATCCACAAGATCCTCTTCACTGCGGAATGTTACGATAGCTCCTACTGTAGCAGCGAGGACTCTGATTAGGACAGCTGGAGCGGGTCTGGCTGGCAGGGCTCTGATTATTTCTGTCAGGTTCTAGAATGCTGCATAATGCAGCTGAGAGTAGTGACCGCGTGGCCAAAGAGGGAAAAACACAAGTGTCAGATGGCAGGGAGAACCCATTAGTGGAGATCTGTTAGCTCAGGGTGGACTTCTAAAGCTTGATCACGAGACACGTGCCTGATGCTCAGGGTTAAACTGACACGACCAGAGAAGCTCGAATCAGCCAAAATAGCCGTGGACCTACCCAAGAAATGGTCAAAGTCCACATGTGATAGCTCCCCAACCGTTGTTAGTTGTGTGACTTATAACTTAATGCATCTTGTTAGTGATACAACCAAGATACCTAAAGACCAGCCCTGAAAAAATGTGTAAAATAGATATAGTATATTCCTTTGTACAGTAGTATCTATACCTTCTTTATGATATATATCAATATTTAACATACTGAAAATATTTAATAGCATGTTTTTAAATATGTAGATGCAGTGATTAATGTTTGTTTCCACTATACTTACAGATCTGGCTTTGCATGTATTAAATAACATGGGGTTTAACTGTTTAAAGGGTTGATTCTTAGCCAGATTTTCTTGCTAATAATAACAATGGTGTATTTTACTCCACCATGACCACCATGCTAAAGGATTCACCTCCTTAATCATCCCTGCTGTTATGATGCTCTTGTTAATCATTATTAAACCGATAACCGGGTTGTCTGTTTTGAATGACACTGACCTCTGAAATTCTGAACTTTACCAGAGTGACATTGATCTCTTAAAACTGAATAGCTTACTGTTTGCTTGGCTTTGTCAGAATTCCTGATCAACATTATCAGTGAAGATTTATGTAGTGGTATATTCATCCTAAACCCTTTGTCATGCAAGAAAATTTTGGGCCTTAATATTGAAATAATATTAATACACAATCTAAATGTAACTTTCTAGTTTTAAGTAAGAGAAAAGCAACACTGTGAGACACTTTGGACAAAAGAATCTGACAATCAAATAAATGCAAATATATGTAAATGTACATTTAATATTACATTTAATGTAAACCACAAGGAACCTTGGTCAATATGAGGGCTATGGGGATTTATAGCCATTTTTCTTATGGTTTTATGCCCTCATTTATTTCCACATTCAACAGAAAATTGAGCACGATGCAACAGCAGCAGCAATAACAACATCAAAGACAAATCACTTACTGTCCTCTCACTGCAACCGCAGTGTTTTATGGTACATCTAAAACATACTTTGATACAATGTTTGGGTAGATAAAGAAGCATATTTCTGTTGTTGCTTAATATTTGTTTCCATGATAACCTTTTGACTCACACCAAAGTGATCAGCTGGAACCTAAAAGTGAAATAAACGTTTGCATGGCACTTGAAGGTGAACAAATGTAATGTCGAGTTAGTAAATGTGCAGCATGAACGGCATGACTACTAAAATACTGCTTCACACATCATAGTACTGTAGCTATGTGCCCAAACCTGAATACTATACACGTGTAAGTAAAATTGCTGCCATTTCTCCGGTTCCCTTCCGTATTTCCCGTACGTTATTCTCAGAAGCTGATTCATGGTTTACACAAAATTGCGCTGTTCATACACGTGTCCACTAGATGGTAGTAGAACTCTTCAGAAAAAAAAATCCCAGAATTCTGATTACAGTTATCGTAATTTTTGAAACGCTGAAGTTCAATTAAAGATTATGTTTTGTAATAATTTCAGGGAAACGTCGTTCCAGGATAGCAACTAAAATTTTAAAATTCAAATGGAAGGGAAATAAAAGAACGTCACATGATTAAAGCCCTAACGTCCCTATTAAGGGATCAAAAAAGTCAGGTTTCATTTTGAGGGATTTTCTAACCAATTTTAACAGAAAAACAATGGGACCACAATCGTGGTTTGACCCGCCATACAGATAGACGTTTTATAGTGTCATGGCTGCATGATCCAGGTGGGTAGGCCTAAGATGGAGTATTTCTGCTAACATTTTCTTCCATATTTTTCTGAAGTGTCCCTTTGAAGAATCCGCAGAAAATTCCCGAACAATTTTCTGCATGGCTTAGCTTAATTGGAGCGATTTATTTGCCTTTCCACGTTAGCCTTTATCTACCGATACATTTTCTTTAGCCGAATGAGCACCCATCTCTTGACTCTGAAAACCGTGCGTTCAGCACTAAAATGTGTTTTAAACTGACAGTTGTTAAGCTGGGTGAGGAGCGGACAATTTGTTTACGGTAATTCCAATGGAAATTGAACTCATACTTTTTACCTACACCTGGAAAGCTTAAGGGGAGGGTCATACTGAGAAACACCATAGGAGCTGTTCCTGCCAAATGTAAATTTAAACATAACGGTTATAGTACAGATATCTCCCTACCTCATGCCCACGCCTGTTCTATGCAAGTAAAATGAGGCGGTCTGGCCCTTAATGAAAGTAGAGATGTCGCTTGTTAGAAATAGAAATGAAATACGCTATCTCGGCACACTGACATCTGGTGGCCAAATCGTGCTCATTACCGCTGGCAGACTAGATCTGAATAACTTCATTAGGACACTGTTGTCATCCGAGGTCTTTGAGGAAGAAACAAATAAGCATGAATGTGACATTTTAAAGTTATGTCACATAAGCACCAATAAACTCCTTCCATAATATAAATTGAATGTTATAAATGTTGTAACAACACGGGACAGAGGGTGTGGACCTAAGAGCACAGTTTATTTTACAATTCAGAAATCCATCCATCCATCCATTTTCCAAACCGCTTATCGTGCTGGGTCGTGGGGAGTCCGAAGCTTATCCCGGAAGCTATGGGCACGAGGTGGGGCAATTCGGATGTGCTTATCCAAAATCAAAGTCGCGTTCAACAAACTACAGTAATAACATGGCTCAGTACAAGACACTGAGAGATCAAGGTAAGACTTAGTAAAGAGCAGCGGAGACTTAGATAGGCTTATACAACTTAAATTTCCAAAGGTGTGGTTAGCTGAATTCATGTAGCACCCTATCAAAGAATGGAACATCTGAGATACAATTTTGTACCTGTCATTCAGGTTTTTTGGGGGCCAACACATTCTGATCCCAGATCATCAGCTTATGCTTCATTTATTTCAATAGGGAAAGAAATTGAGACCTTTCAAAACAGTATGATGTAATGGAGCACCAATCAGGGTGGTCACATGACATAGTTTGGTACAGACTATTTTGAAACAGTATGCTTCAAATAAACTGAAGCAGTTTTAGAATAGTACTTCAAGTCTGACATCACTAGCGAGTAGTCTATCCGCGTCCAGATGGCAACTTGTATTTTTGGTATTGGTCTTATCACGTAATGTCAAACCAGGGGACACTTTACTGTTATGACGTCCGTACCACGGTGTACAGTGCCACTAGATAACATTTTTTCAAGGTCCACAGTGCAACATACAGACAAATAGGATATATAAACACTGACTCATACGCAGGTCACAGACAACGGGTCAAACATTAAACTATAAAAGTCTCCACATAATGCAGGTAAGGACAGGACTAAGAGCAACAACACACAATGCATGCAGGTTATATTAAGTGGCAAGAACAACTTAAGGATTAGATAAACTAGCGGTAAACTAGTATAAAAAGCAGGAACAAAGTGCAATAAATGAACAATAACAAAGTGACCAGTGTAATTGGTGGAGGGAAACAGACTCATTTTAGGTCCCAGTGTCTTATTCGTCCAAACCTGATTCCAGTATTGCATTCACAGTCGCTTTTGTACAGAGCGACGTTACAATTTTACTGATTTAGTTAGGCACTGGGCTCAAGGGTGTAACAGCTAAATCCTCTAAAACTTCAGGTAGCAACTTACACACATGCTGTCAAGAGCAGTGTGGTATCTTCCTGAGATCCAGGGGAAAACAGGTTTTTTAATTTTGTTTTTCAGTAACCAGACACAGTAAAAATCACACCCAACACATATGTGATGTCATCTCAAAGCCCTAACTGTCCTCTGTAAGGAACAACAGGACTTAAAAGAGTAGCATGTGTGGAATGAAAGATATGAGCAAAAATGTAATCTCAGGAGGACATTAGTATGTCCACGCATTACACAGAGACAGTCGGCAGGAAAACTGGTGCATCTTAAGCACTGCTTGGCATGGCACTGTACTGTAAATCATGCATATGGTGGATTAACTCATAATCCCTTTGCTGCTAAATCAGAAACTCTTTGGTTTTCCTTTGCATGGGACTCTTGCAATTTCTTCAGCTAAGGATGCAGAAATATTCACGCTAAGCTCTTTTTTCGCTTACTTTTTTTTGCACGGGGAGGTGCACTACTACGCTGTACATGTCCTTGCAGGATTCCATATATACTTTCTTTCCTACAGGGGCAGGGAAGGAGAAGGGTATGGAGGATGGATGGAGGCTACTGTGTCTGTAACACGTCGTTCTCCCTTGAAGGGGGCAGTGTTTCTGCGCGTCACACCCTGACTCACTGTCCCACTTTAACTGTAACTGGAGAACCTCAAGGTTAAACAAACTGATGTTTTTTTCCCAGTTAATCCCAAATGACTCAGATGACTTACAAAATGACACACAGGCATGCATTCTGGTAAAGACAGTACATGGGGTCGCCTTTTTACATGCCTGTCATTTTTGTTAAAGGTCACTTAGAGATGCTTAACACTCGTGCATTGTGGGTAATTCTGAGATGCCACGTTTTCGGCTGCTAGGCAAAAATCCACATGAACACGAGGCGAACATGCAAACTCCTCAGGCACAGAGCCCCAGGGCCGGCTTAAGAGTATTAAGTGCCCCTGGGCAGCAGCACACATGACGCCACGTCAGACAGAATCGGAGCTGATTGGTGGCTCACGGAATTCAGAAATGTATGTAATACAGTGTTTCCCAGTCCGATCCTCGGGGACCCACAGCCGGTTCATGTTTTTGCTCCCTCCGATCACCATGCCAGACAGTGCACATTTTTGCTCCCTCCCGGCCCCCTGCCATACAGTCCAAAACGTGGACAGTCTGTGGGTCCCCAAGGACTGGATTTGGAAACACAGATCTGGCGTAGGGAGAACGTTATATCGGCTTTTTATTGAGTGCCGTATTAAAAGAACAATATACAATCATATTAAATACATTAGATATTAAACTGCTTTAATTTGCCAAAAGACATTTGTAAGTGGGACTGAGCGGGCAGGCTTATGAGGGGTTGCCCTGCCTAGTGCCTCCCTGAGGACGTGGTGCCCCTGGGCATGTGCCCAAATGCCCATATGCTTAATCCGGCCCAACAGAGCTGGAGTGAGTCTCAGACTCCCAGCCGCAGAGGTGTGAGTCTATAGCACGGCACAATAAGCCACCCCAGAAAAAAAAACCTTCATATATCCATAAGGTCAGATATAGCGAGAGCTATAACCCAGTTCTTTCTCTATTCAAAAGTTACGTCACCAGAGATGAGGTCCAGCCAAAGCTCACGCTCGAGACTTGGACTCAAACGCAGGAAAAAAAATGAAAGCAGGAGGAAGCAAAAAAGCATGTGCCCTAGAAATGTAAACAGCAATGGCCGCCCCAACCGGTTCGCCAGCTGGGGGAGTTAT